GGCCCGGGCGCGGACTCGGGGGGCGCCGCAGGGTGTAGGGTGGCTCCCCGCCCTCCTCCCCGGGTCTGGGAATCGCTTTCGGCCTCCGAGCCGGACTGCAAAGCTAACTGCACCGACCTCCTGCCACTAAGCTCCAAGGTGAAGGAAGCCCACCGTTGGAGAGGCCCGAGACTGCGTCTGCAAAGCCTTGGAACGCGACTGTAGGGAGGACCTCTGAGCTGGGCCAGGATGGACTCACGCTGACCGGGAGGCCTTTTGCCATCCCTGACAGCCCCCCGTGGAGCTAGAGCTAGGAAGCAAGGACTTTGTGAGGGGGCTGCTGCAGATGGGGTGCGCTCTCTGCCCAGACGGGCCGGGCCTTGAACCGCTGTCTAGCCAGTGACGTTGTGGCCTGAGTTACCAGGCCTGCTTTCCAAAGTGTTACTACTCCTGACATGTATTTAAATTAAATTTTGGGGAGCACTGACGTCTGGCTCTCCACGCTCTCTGTATCATTCTGTACGTGGCTTGAGTTAGGCCTCCCAGAGCTGGTGGGGAGCAAACGCTACACATGTACCGCCTGTACGGTTTTTAAATATAATCTACATTTGTAAGTTAAGGAGGTTTACATCAAAGAAAAACTAACTTTAAAAATTAATGAGTGCAATGCCTTAAGTTCCCTGGAACTTTTGGACTTTTTTCCCCTATTAATTTGGTCTCTGTTGCAAAATTCGGCTTCAGTATGTGAGGCAGACTTTTGTCTGAGGTTGCATCGTTATTGCAACCTCAAATCTGAGTGTTTTGTCTAAAGTCTACTAACTCACTCATTTATTATCAGATAGCTCTACTTTGACAGCACCATCACTGAATCTTTGTGTTACAAGCATGACAGCGAGTGCTTTCCTAATTCTCCGAATAGTAACTATTGGTCCATGTGAGATATGTCTTCATTTATGCTATTTCCTGGGACAGGAAGTTTAGAAGAAAATGCTGTACTGCCTCCTCTACTGGTTTTGCCCTGTTTCCTAGTGAACCTCCTTAAACTGCATGTATATGTCACTGTTCCTATGTATGTGTGTCTCTCTACCACATAACCCAGCACTTATTTCCTCAGCCAAGTGGCTAGGGGGCCAGCCTAGCCAAGATTTTATCTCCAATGGACGCAAGTTTCTTTGATGAAGATCTCTCCTGAGAGTTCGGGACTAGCAGAAAGAAGCGAGGAAATTTCGACCGTTTGGTTCTTACGGATAGGTATTTATGTATTCGGTTTGTGTGAATGTAAGCTATGATAGTTAACTTTTCAGAAAAAAAAATTATTATTTTTTTTTTGCAAGTGGCATTGAATGGTTGACCAAATCATACACGGTAAGAACTGCTAGTGAGGTGGATGTCATTTATGTTTTAAAGGAATATCTTTCCTTTAATTAAATTTTATTGTGCTGTAGAAAGGAGTATAGACTTTGTTAAGTTAATTTGAGTTTAAAAGTAGGTGAGATATGACTAGCCATGTTAAATATAAGTCTGAAAAGCCTTACGTTTGCTATAATACTTGTATTTTATTATTTTAATTGGTAAGTATGTACGTAGAGTGTCACACGCAATCAGCCCAGACAGTGACTTCTGTCTGCTGACCTGCACGCTCACATTACAGATATGATGGGCGTGGTCACCTGCATGACCTCTCTGCGTATGATGCTGAGTATGCCACCTGGAACCGAGACTACCAACTCTCTGAAGAGGAGGCGCGCATAGAGGCGCTGTGTGATGAAGAGAGGTATTTAGCCTTGCATACGGACTTGCTTGAGGAGGAGGCCAGGCAAGGTACTGCTCAAGAAAGACTTACTTCTGCCACAACTTTTAAATTTTTAAGTATTTAAAAATTTGCTCCCATTCATTTTACTCACTCTTTCTGATATTATCTTGACAGTACCCAGTGGATTGGAAAAACGAGTCTTTGCGTTCTGAGAGGACCTCAGGATAGTTTATATGTAGAGCCACAAAGAATTTTCCCAGCTTTTGAGGGCAGACTGGGATTTGAAAAAAAAAAAACAAAACAAAAAACAATCTCTTTAACTGTTCTTCTTTAACAGTATTGTATGAATTAAATTGATGTTCTTGTCTTTGCCTTAACGATTGATCTTTAATGCAGTTCTTAATCCCAAAGTTTTCTCAGCAGGAAGAAATTTTCCTTAAGAGACATGTATTCTCCTATCTGTGGTAAATGTGTACTGGCAGAAATACATTTTGATAGCTAAAAAGTATGCATTTTCAGAAACATTCTCACCTTGAAAAGAATTTGAAAAGAAGTGTCATATACTTTTGTTGTTAGCTACAACTTTAGAAATGGTAAACTTCTAGTTTTATTAATAAAGTTCTCATTTTTATTCAAAGAGGAAGAATACAAGCGATTGAGTGAGGCGCTAGCCGAGGATGGGAATTACAGTGCTGTGGGGTTTACTTATGGCAGTGACTACTATGACCCATCTGAGCCGACCGAGGAGGAAGAACCTTCCAAACAGAGAGGTGCGCTGGCTGTTGACATCATCATGATTACAGTAGGGGGCCTTCCTTTGGTGAAATAAAGCGAGAAACTAAAAAGCAAATTTTTCATGGAGGTGAAAAATGGATTCAGACTTTTTCTATACTGGATTCAAGTAGGGTTGTTTCTTTTGTTTTTTTTTTAAATCATTCCTCTTTCTTAGTGATTTTGTGTTTGTGCTTTCCTGCGCTAACTGTGAAAGCTTTAATTTTTTAAAATAGTGCTGCCTAAAGTTGAAGCTCATTTACTACAAAGAGAACCCCATTGTCTTAGCCTCGCTGCTTTGATCACTTGTCAGTAGCAGTGATGGGAGCCTGAGACACTTAAGAGGGGTCACTTATGTGCACACGTTCCATTTGACAAAGAGAACTTGAACTTGGAGAAGACTTAAGACTGGGGAACCCTGTGACCCTTAGTCCTGCCAGTTGTACAAGGGTCCTTCCTGCCTGTGGCCAGACCCTTCCTCCTCAAGAGTTGTATGGCATCAGAGCAGCATGTTGGGCAAGCAAAAGAGTCCTAGGCAGTCTGCTTTGTGAGCCTGTAGACTTACAAAGTTCATTAAGGAACATAAAACTTTCTGCATGGACTTTTTTTTTTTTTTAATTGTTATGCTGTTTCTTGCACTTGAACTCAGGGCTTGAATTCAGGTTCTGAACATTGTCCTGAGCTTTTTTGCTCAAGGCTAGCACTGACACCTGAACCATAGCTCCACTTCTGGATTTTTAGTTGTTCTTGATAAGAATTTCATGGACTTCCCTGCCTGGGCTGTTTTAAACCTGTGAAAGAGTCTCATGGACTTTCCTGCCTGGACTGGCTTTGAACTGTGATCCTCACAGAGCTCAGCCCCCTGAGTAGCTAGGATTCTAGGCGTGAGACACTTGTGCCTGGCACTCCAGAATAAATTACCCTGTCCTAGTAGTCTGGGTTAGGTGAGCAACCCTTAACCACAAATGCAGTTTCATAGATAGTTTTATTGGTGAATAAATGTGCTGCTTCGTGCTGTCTGCTGCAGGTCTGCCTTGGCAGCAGGGTTGAGTGTCCCAGAGCTGACCATATCTCTGTCTAGCATTTCAGTTTGTCTGCTCTGTTCTCGATGTTGGATTGCTGCCTGGTATAATTATCAGCGAAGTGATGATGAATAGTTACAGTTCTGATTTTCAAGACTATTAGAATAACTGTTTCTCTTCAAGTATACTTCCTCTTCACAAAGTTCTCTTTAGCAAATTTGGTTACTTTCTTTATAAAAATCACGCTCTTGAAACTTTCCCTGTATCTTTTTCTTGTGTATGTGTAAGTGTATGTATGATTGTGGTCATTGGGACTTCAGCTCAGGGACTGGGTGAACTCAGGCCTACGTGCTGCCCCTAAGCTTTTTTCAGTCACTTGAACTTTTTGCTGGTTAATTAGCAATAAGAGTCTCACAAACTTTTCTGCCTGGGCTGGCTTCAAATTACATACAATCCTCAGATCTCCGCCTTCTGAGTGGGTAGAATTATAGGCATGAGCCACTGGTGCCTGGCCCATGCTAAGTTTTTACAAAATTTGGGCTTTTTGTGTGTAACTATTTTAACTTGCACTAATTGTTTTCTGACCCAGCATCATATCTGTGTATTCCTTGATTCTCAGGCTTGCAGTATTCTTGGCATTTCTTAATTAAATCCGTTATTCTAGTCAGCAAGGCCTTGGTGGGCCTGGTTTTGCCCATCAGTACCTGACTTCCCTCTCCCTTTTGGCAGCACACTGTTTTCAGTTGGTCTTGTCTTTTATATTCTATAACTTTCCATCATCGTGTATACTTTTTTGTTCAACAAGAAAGGGCTGTTTGAATTTAGTTTGCATTAAGTGTATATCGCAATGGCAGGTTTTTATTCTGTGCTACTAAGCCTGTTTTTCTGTAAGAATAGATAGAAGCTGGGTGCCAGGTGGCTCACACCTGTAAACCTAGCTACTCAGGAGTCTGAGATACAAGGATCACAGGATCACTATTGTGAATAGTGGGGCAGTGAACACGAATGTGCGGGTGTCTGTATCATATCCCGGCTCATGATGCTCAGGGTAGATGCCCAGGACTGGTATGGCTGGTTGTAGGGAAGGTCTGAGGAACCTCCATACTGCTGTCCAGTGTGGTTGTGCTAGTTTACATTCCCACCAGCAGTGCAGTAGGGCTCCTTCTTCCTCACACCCCCACCAACATCTGTTATCCGAATTCACAATGTTGACCAATCGAGCTGCGGTGAGATGGAATCTCTGAATTGTTTTGACTTGCATTTCCTTTATGGCCAGGCAGGATGAGCGTTTCCTCGTGTGTTTGCCATTCTTACCTCCTCTTCTTTTTTTTTTTTTTTGGTCCGGTCGTGGGGCCTGAACTCTGGACCTGGGCACTGTCCCTCAGCTCTTTAGCTCAAGGCTAGCACTCTACCACTTGAGCCACAGCGCCACTTCCGGCTTTTTTCTTTTTGCTTATGTGGGGCTGAGGAATCGAACCCAGGGCCTCGAGCATGCAAGGCAAGCGCTCTACCACTGAGCCACCTTCCCAGCCCCTCTTACCTCCTCTTCTGAGAAGTCTTCCCTCAACCATTTAGTGATTGATTTCTTGAACTCCCTGTATATATTGGCTAGTAGGCTAAGGTACATTTTCCTATACCATACTGGCATTGTAAGCAACTTGTGTAGCACACAGACAGATGTTGTTCAGTGGCTGTAATGAATGAACAGATATGGAAAAATACATCTGATTGTTTATGAAAAAAGAAAGAAAAAAACAGTGATAATGCTGCTTTTGTGATCTCTTGACTTTTTTTTAAATGCCCAAGTGTTTTACAATTTGATTATTAAAATTGATTATACCACCAGGATCACATCTGTAATCCTCTATCTTTAGGAAATGAGATCTGATAATTGTAGTTTTAAGCCAGCCCATGCAGGGAAAGCCATGAGACTTTTATCCCCAATTATCACCAAAAATCCATATAGCTCAAGTAGTAGAGTGCTAGCCTTGAACATAAAAGTTCAGGGACAGTGCCCAGACCTACCCCGAGTTCAGGCCCCGGGACTGGCACATGCTAACACATACAGGCACGTGCACATGCACGCGTGTGCGCCTACGTACACACATAGACACACAGTGATGCCTGCTGGAAGGAGGTCTTGAAAAGCCAGTTAGTTAAATGCAGAAGTAAAAGCAACAGAGGGAAGAGCAGAACATCCATGTCCTGGCTAAGCGTCGAGCAAGCACCCTGCTCGGACGGCCATGTCAGTGTCAAGCGTCCTGCTCTGGCGGTGGCCTCCGCGGGGCGGGCTTTCTCACGGGCACCTTGTTGGCATAGATGTACCGTAGGGCTAGCACTGCACTGAGGAGACACAGAAACTGCAGAGGGGCCAGGATCACAGGCACAGGCCCGGACCTGCAGGGCTGGATGGAGCTCAGACTTCTGCCGTGCTGCCCTTGTCTCTGGGAGGGTGGGATGAGCATTAGACACAGGGAGGTAGAGCAGGAAGTTGTGTTGGTGAACATTGCTCAGAAGTTTTATTTGTTTGCTTTAACAGAAAAGTCTGAGGCTGAAAATTTGGAAGAAAACGAAGAACCTTTCATTGCCCCTTTAGGATTGAATGTCCCGTCTGACGTGGAACTGGTATGTGTATTTCTTCTCAATTCTCTGTCGGCGCTGCTCTGTCTTCACCTTGGGTGCTGCACGTGCAAGAGGACTGTGTTCATCCAGGACAGCAGTCCAGGCACTCCACGCTGTAGAGATAGCTGGGGGAAGCATCCCATTTCACAAGGATGAAGGAATAAGCCGGGCGCCGTGGCTCGCGCCCGTCATCCCGGCTACTCAGGAGGCTGAGCTCTGAGGATCGAGGTTCAAAGCCAGCCCGGGCAGGAAAACCCAATAAACCACTCAGAAAAAGCTGTAAGTGGCGCTGTGACTCGAGGGTAGAGCACTAGCCTCGAGCACAAAGAGGCTCAGGGACAGTGCCCAGGCCCTGAGTGCAAGCCCCAGAACCAACCGGGAAAAAGAAAAGAAAAGAAATATAGCAAAGTAACTAACACATGGGGCCTGTTTGGGGGTGGTCTGGAGGGCACGTGACTTTCCCAGCATGGACCACCATGTCAGAATCAGGTGCATGTATTGTCATCCACATGCAGACGTGAAAATGGCCATGCTCAAGGCAGCTTTGCTCATGACCATGTGCCTTGTTTCTGGTATGATTTTTGGGGGGAGATGCTTATATCTTTGCCTAACATTTTTTGGGCAGTTTTTCTGTCATGATTTGTCCCTGTACATGTCTAGTCCACTCTTCTGCCTGTGAGAAAAGCCAGTGTGGGACTTCTTGGTTAGGCTGCTTTGCAGCTGGTTACCGTCGGGGCTGAGTCTCCAGTTCAGCCCTGATTTCTTCAGTTTCATCTTGTTGAATTGCAGTCGCTGTTAAAGCCAATGCTGAGCTTTTTCTTTGTTTTTCGGAGTATTTATTGTGGGAATTCTGTATTCTAGGTTGTGTGCCAAGCTGCTTTTGGTGTATTTTGTATTTTCAAGGGGTGTTCATATGTGGGCGTTGCAGGGGTACACATGGATATGGATGTCAAGTGCTTGTGCTCAGCAGCAAAGGGTTTTTTCTTTGAGTTTGTTGTACCTGGGTTGCAAGTGCTGTCAGTGGAAACATTTCAAGTGCGTGTTGATATCCATTGTACCAGTCACTGGGTGGACAGCACTTCACAGACCCAGGGTCTGACCCTCCCTCTGCTGCCCACTGCTACCCTGGGTTCAGCCTTTTTTCCTTCCCTGCAGTATGTGATGAAAGATACCAAAAATAGCCTTTCAATCCTTTCTCACTTTACTCATTTGCATATTCTCACCCCCTGGGATTGAACTCAGTGCCTTGCACTTGAAAGGCAAGTACGGTACCACTTGAGCTAAACCTCCAGCTCCCTTTACTGTGGCCGCTTTCAAGTTAGGGTCTCATTACATTTGCTGGCCTGTGCCACAGCCCTCCGGCATCCCTGGGGGTGGCAGACTCATGCCCTTAAACCAGCTTCTTTCTCTGTTTGTTTCCTTTTTTCTATGTTTGATTCTTTAGTTCCAACTTTTGGTCATTTTCTGTGGTTAAAGCTTCAACTATTATCTGGAGCCAGGCGCTGGTGGCTCACGCCTGCAATCCTAGGTACTACTCAGGAGGCTGATCTCAGTTCAAAGCCAGCCTGGGCAGGAACATCCATGAGACTCTTATCTCCAATTAACCACCAGAAAGCTGGAAGTGGTGCTGTGGCTCAAGTGGTAGAGTGCTAGCTTTGAGCTGAAGAGCTTAGGGACAGCACCCAGGCCCAGAGTTCAAGACCCACAACCAACAAAAAAATATTATCTGGAGATTTGCTACAATGAGCCTTATATCGATATCTGTTCCGTGTATTATCATACATGGTCTTCTTGTGTGTTCTGACCCATTGAAATGAAGCCTTAAATATTTTATCTGCTTCATTATATTTCATGCCAAAGCTTCACAGAGTTTAATTTCTATGCAAATATAAATGGAAAGGTACAATAGAATTTTGTTGGTATAATTCCTATTACAGTATTTACTGGTTATCCTCAGCCAAAGTAAAAATTGTTTAATAAACAGTATGCCTGAGGTAAAAATACCTGTCCCTCAGTGGAGAGCACAGGCCTAGGTGTCCATTCCTTCCACTGGCAGTTTTGGAGGTATCCTGGAGTAAAGAGGCAAATGCGGAAGCCTACTTGAGAATTCGGCAAGTCTGGCTTGCCTCTTCCATTTCCTTCCTGGCAGTGTCAGAAAGGGATCATATAAATCACATCCTGAGCCGGGCGCTGGTGGCTCACACCTGTAATCCTAGCTACTCAGGAGGCTGAGATCTGAGGATCGCGGTTCAAAGCCAGCCCGGGCAGGAGAGACTGTGAGACTCCTATCTCCAATAAACCACCAGAAAACCGGAAGTGGCGCTGTAGCTCAAGTGGTAGAGCGCTTGCCTTGAGCTGAAGAGCTGAGGGACAACGCCCAGGCCCTGAGTTCAAGCCCCACGACCGACAAAAAAAATAAAAATAAAATAAATCACATCCTGTTGTCTGAGTCAAGTCACCAATGTTGAGTATTTTTGAGGGGACATAAGAATGGCTGAACTGGCCACACGGGCTGGTACTGCTGCAGTGGAGAGGGTCTGCTCCTGCAGTTAGTTAGGCAGGCACTGTAAGGAGCCCTTGGTTTAATCCTTGTACCACCACGACAGACCCCACACAGCTTCTCCAGCAGTCTATTGAGCCTCTAGGTTCGGGCATTGTCAGGAGATCAGATGCCTCTTATTATTGATTCATAGTCTCCATGAGCATATGTTTCTCTTCCATGGGAAGTAGAGACCTATTCTTCCTCTAAGCATGTCATGTGTCTGACATGTACGTGCAGTTGGCTACCCATTTCCCAGGGTCTCAGAGCCCTTCTGTGGCCAGTCCTGAGTTCCCCACACAAAGCCAGCTCCCCTGTTCCACCTGGGTGGGTGTGCCATGCTGGAGCCATCTGGTACTTGCAAGCAGTTAGTACTACTCACTCAAGTGGCAGAGGTGGGCAGTATCTGCCAGGTGCCCATGGTGACCTGGACCCCTATTTGGCTAGTGCTGTTTCACTTGCCTCCCAGAGCACAAGCCCCTGGGGCACCAACCAAGGATATGGCCCTTAGAATACGGAAGAAAGGAGAGAACTGAGGCTCCAAAGGAACTGCTGTTAGTTCACATTTCAGACTGTTCAAGTAAAGGCTTAGTAAGCTCTCACTAAGCCTACACCCTCTCTCCCAGGCATTGTACAGTTACTCTGTGCTCATCTTTCAGTTGATATTTAGCAATTATGACAGATGGGTTCCATAACTACCTGCCTTCCAGAGGGGAGCACACTGAGCTCTGAGCTGCCGTCGGACCTGTAGGGTCAGGTCCGCGTCCTAGCCAGCGACTGACTGGAGCGCTGAGACCCTCTGGTTCAGTGTTGCTGAGCGTTGTCCAAGTTTGCTTGCACCGTGGCTTTCAGGCTGTTGCCCTGTGTGGACAGAAGAGAAGCTAATATGCCCTGCCCTCTTGCAGAGTTGTCCTTCCTTGTGGTGTCAGGACTCATGTCTGATGGGGGAGCCTTTGGCTACTTTGGTCTTGCAAAAGCCTTTCTAGGAGCTTTGTCATTTTACTGTGTCTGCCATTCCCCTTGAGGCTGCAGAGTTGTAAGCATAATACTTGGAAGACCTTTCCTGTTCTGAAGAGGTGGGAAAAAATTTCCTGGTATTCCTGCTAATGTTTCTATAGTTTCGCTTGCACACTTGAGTTGTGACAGAATCTGATGCTTGTTGGGCCTATGGAAAAAAAGCAATTAGTTCATCTCTCCCCTTTGGAGGACCAGAGGCCCGTAGACTGCCCTGGGGCTTCTTCCTCATTTCTCATCTTCCCCTCTCGTTCCTTGTTCACCCTGCTAGATGTGAGTCCAGAGCTTCCCAGAGCTCTCCTTTTGTCTAGTGCTCTTCCTTGAGCTTGAAGCCATGGTGATGGAGTTTGCAGGTGTGAGGAGGTAGTGGTACTTGGCTTAATAGATTTCCCTTAGCTCACAGGGCTTCTGCGTGGGATTAGACGAGAAAGACGTTTAACAGACAGTCTTTATAATAACTTGGGCATGCTTACCTGTGGACTGACTTGGTTTGGTTTGGTTTGGGTGCTGGGTCGTGTGTGTGTGTGTGTGTGTGTGTGTGTGTGTGTGTGTGTGTGTGTGTGTGCGCATTCTGCCACTGAGCTACAGTCTTGTGTGTGTGTGTGTGCATTCTGCCACTGAGCTAGTCTTGTGTGTGTGTGGGCATTCTGCCACTGAGCTAGTCTTGTGTGTGTGTGCATTCTGTCACTGAGCTGCGGTCTAGTGTGTGTGTACGTGCATTCTGTCACTGAGCTGCACCTCACACTTCCTAACCCAGGGTCTCGTGTGTGTGTGTGTGTGTGTGTGTGTGTGTGTTTATGCGCGCGTGAATGTGTATATGCGTGCGTACGCTCTGTAACTGAGCTGTGGTCTAGTGTGTGCATGAGTGTGTTCTGTAACTGAGCTGTGGTCTCCTGTGTGTGTGTGTGTGTGTGTGTGTGTGTGTGTGTGTGTGTGCATTCTGCCACTGAGCTGCGGTCTTGTGTGTGCGTGCATTCTGCCACTGAGCTGCACCCCAATACTTCCAAACTGCGTCTTAAAATGTCATTGTATAATAGGGATATTCATGTCATTAAATGAAGAGAAATTGTCTAAGATCTGCATAACAAAGAATGGCTTTTTCCAAGCCAGATTTTTTTCCCCTGTGCTGGTACTAGAACTTGAACTCCAGGCCTTGAGCTCATGCTGGTTTTTTGCTCGTAGCTGGTGCTTTATCATGTAAGCCATGTCTCAACTTCCATCAAGCCAGATACTTGAATCTCACATTTCCTGGTAGCAGATCTTGGAATGTATTCATAGATGCTTTGCTTTTGTGCGGTCGTTGCTTTGTAAAATTACCTACATGTGGCATTATAACGATTGTAGTCATACTAGATGATTAATAGGCCTACTCTTAAGGCCTTTAAGACCTAAAAGTTGATTGGTTCACAAAGAGCATGCACTGTGTGGGATTGTGTTTTCCCTTGAGTGTAATTATTCTGAATTGATTGTTAATCATTGATGTGTTTATGGAATGTGCTGCTTAGAAATGAACCTTTCTATGTAGCCAAAGCCAATGAAATTCTACATCAGGGTCCATATTTCAGGACTCAGTGGGCCTTTAACACAGAACTTAATTTGTTTGGGAGTCTAAATAAGTTTAATAGTACATGTTTACCCATTTCAGTGTGAAGGACATTATTTATTCAGAAATTAAGTTTGAGAATTAAGCCATTTGTAATTTCAGGATGAGACACTGAAATTACAATGAGCATCTCCAGTGTTTAACTGCCCATTTTTAATGAGAGCAATTTTCAGTTTCATTCCCATATAATTTCCTAGTATTACTCTCTTGGTTGTTACTAAAAGTATTTTTAGACATGTGGCTTGTAGTTTTTGGCCTAACAAGTTCTGTTTGTGACCACATGATGTGGTGGAAATAGCCCTGGAGCTAAAGTAAAAGGAAGAGGCATGCGTTTGTGGCTGTGGTCAGAGGCCTTCCCACCTGCTCCGGCCAGGCCACACCTGGACTGCCTTTGGTTTAGCACACGGTTTTACCTAGGACTGGCAGTGAGATGGAGCCTTAAACTGTGTTTTATAGGAAGCAGACACAAGGAAGGGGGTGAGTGCGGAGGAGGAGGAAGAGTGAGCTCATGGATTTGTTTGGATGTTCAAAGGGCTGTTTAGTGGAAGGGAGCCTTCCATGTCTTGGAGAAGTGTTGAAATGTACTCTACCCATAGAAAAATACATATGTGTTTGTAAACTTCAGGAACCCACTGAAGTCCATTCTTGTGTCTGAGTTAGTAGGAAGATGCGAACTCCGTGCACTGAAAGGCCAGCTTCCCCGCACTCTTTAAGACGCAGTGCCTGTCCTCGGGACGTGAGGCCTGGACAAGATGGCGTACTACAGGAGAGTTCTAGAACTAGACCTGGGCAGGATGGTGTTCTACAGGGACAGTACTAGACCTGGACAGGCTGGTGTACTACAGGACAGTACTAGGCCTGGGCAGGCTGGTGTACTACAGGAGAGTTCTAGACCTGGACAGGCTGGTGTACTACAGGACAGTACTAGACCTGGACAGGCTGGTGTACTACAGGACAGTACTAGACCTGGACTGGCTGGTGTACTACAGGACAGTACTAGACCTGGACAGGGTGGCGTACTACAGGACAGTACTAGACCTGGACAGGGTGGTGTACTACAGGACAGTACTAGACCTGGACAGGGTGGTGTACTACAGGACAGTACTAGACC